TTCAGTTTTTTGTTGATTTTGATTTTCACTTTCTTGTAGTTATTCATTTTCCTGCTCCCTTATTTAAATTTTCTAGATTCCTGCTATGAGTGAGACCATCCGGCATTTTTCTTTTTCTTTCTGACTTCAGCTGCTTTTTAATAATCCATCTTTTCAGTGCTGACTTTTGAATCCATACTCATCATAATCTAATTATATGTATGTCCTGAAGTCTGTTGCTGAGCAATCACTTCTATTTCCTCAATAGCAATTTCAATGCCAGGACCAATTATTTGAATTTTATGATATATATTGATGTCTAGTAGTACAAATATATCCTCATATTCTTGTTTTACAAAATTGTCTTACTTATGCCTGCCCTTTTATTCTTCTAGATCAGGTTTGGAATCACCAAATTTGGAGTCAACCCAAATTTTTTTTTAATTATCTTAATTGTGCTGATGCTAAATTCGACTTTTGTTTTTTTTAACCATGAATATTTTTAGTTTGGGACTTGAAATACATGTGCAGTTTAAATATATGGAAGAATAACAAGTGAACTCAGAAGTTAAAGAATTCAGGGACTTATTTTATAATCTTAAATGCAAGTATGATTGATCACAACCACTTGCTGCCAGCACTTGTCAGGAGACTATTACAGAGCCAACCGCTTCCTGTCAAGTTGGGAGACTTTCACAGATTGCACATTGATATTCACTTTTGAAGTACAGAAGGAGCTGAACATGTACCAAATGTTCAAATGCTTCAGTATTTCTTATTCTACATAATCACCAAGAATGTTAGCAATTCCAATGATAAAATGCTTTTTAAGATAGGTTCAAAAATTGCCCATTATGGCCTTTCTGGCTGCCCAGAGAATTCATCCTCCATTGTCCTCATGTTTGGAGAGCTGGTTAGCTCATCCCTCAGGAATTATACATGTCCCAGGAGCCCATGAATCACACACCCCCTAGAGGTTCCTCCAAAGTACATGTGGTGTTTAATTGGCAGCAACTTCTCAGTTTGACCTCTGTGTTTGTACCATTAGAATATCTCCCTATCTGGTCAAAGACTTGCCATTTTGTTGGACAAAGTCGCAATTTAAATGTTTGGTTCCAAGATTGCAGTAGGAATATTTCAGAAATACTTAGCTTCAGCTTTTTAAATGCAAAGGTTACATGTGCTGGGAAAGGCCCAGAATAGAAATAGAGCAAGAGACATTCCTCCTTTCAAGTGCTCTGTTTAGATGAAGGCAGCAGAGCAAGATGGGGCAAAGTAAGAAATGACTTGGAACGAGATGACATTTAAGCCAGGTATGCGAGCAGGTGACGAAACTGTAGTAGAGGAGAAAGCACCAAGCCCTGAAGTCAGGCCTGAGTTCAAGTGCAACTTTGTTGCTATTGCAACAAGTTCCCTAATCTTTCTATGTCTCAGTTTATCTATAAAATAAGCTACTGCAAATGCTCTAAATAAGTAGTAAGAATTAAAAATGCAGAAAACACCCAGAGTTAATCCATGATGATAGCCATGAATGGCAGCTATTAAAATTTGAGCTGTTTCAGGGCCTGATTAGTAGGCCGGCGTGTGAGAACCAGGGACAGATGCATGGTGGCAAGTGTGGGAGACAGGCTGGACCTTGCTTGTGGAAGACTGTCAGGCTTGCTAAGAGCTGAGGCCTGTCCTATAGGAGCTGCAGAGGTGTCAGGGGGTTTCACAAAGAAACGCCAGCTCTAGGGCCTCTCTGGTGGTGCAGGGGTTAAAGACAGCACTATCAAGCTATCCACAGCCACTGCAGCATGAGTTCCATCCCTGGCTGGCCAGGGAGCTACCCACATGGCGCAGCAGACCTCTCCTGTCTCGCCTACTGCTCCCCTCAGCAGTGTATTTCAGTAGATCTGCCTGTTCTGCTCCCCGCTCTCTCTGGTGAATACGCTCAACTCCCTTCCCCCAGCACCTGCACCTCTGGCTTATACCCCAGTTCTTATATGCATAAATAAATCAATCTTTAAGCTTCTGCACAGCAAAAGAGACAATAACCAAAACAAAGAGAAACCTCACCGACTGGGAGAAAATTTTTGCACACAACACTAATGATTAAGAACTGATCACAAAAATCTACAAAAAGCTGATGAGACTCAACAAAAAGAATATAATCCAGTCAAAAAATGGGCAGAAGAGCTAAAAAGAAACTTCTCCAAAGAGGAAATACAAATGGCCAACAAGCATATGAAAAAATGTTCAACATCACTTGTAATCAGGGAAATGCAAATCAAAACTACAATGAGCATCTTACACCAGTGAGAATGGCACATATTAAAAAAACTAAATGTTGGCGAGGGTGTGGAGAAAAAGGAACTCTCCTGCATAGCTGGTGGGAGTGCAAACTGGTCCAACAACTGTGGAGAGCTGTATGGAGATTTCTTGACCTACTAAACATAGAGCTTCCATATGATCCAGCAATTCCACTCCTAGGTATTTACCCAAATGACACAGAAACATTAATTCCAAAGGGCACCTGCACCCCTATGTTTATAGCAGCACAGTTTACAATAGCTAAGCTTTGGAAATAACCCAAATGCCCAAAAATAGATGACTGGCTCAAGAAGATGTGGTACATATACACAATGGAATATTACTCAGCAATCAAAAAAGATAAACACATGCAGTTTGCAGCAACATGGATGGCGCTAGAAGGGATCATGCTCAGCAAAATAAGTCAGAAAGAAAAAGAAAAATACCAGATGGTCTCACTCATTTCAGGAATTTAGAAAACCTAAATAAGGGACCAGGAAAAAGACTAATTAACACAAAGTAAAAATCAAAATCAACAAGCAACTATAAACCAGAGACACACTACGGGGTGGGAGGGTGTAGAGGGAAGGGTAGGGAAAGGAAGGATTAGGGTCAAAATAAGGGGGGGTGCAATTGTATGAGGAATATAAGCAAAATGAAAATGCATACGTTGTGCAAAAATGAAAAATGATGTAAGAATTATATAAAATAAAATATTTTAAAAATCAATCTTTAAAAAAAAGAAAGAAAGAAATGCCAGCTCTAGAAGGCACGAAAGCATAATGGTTAGCACTTGGGTTCTGAAATTCTAGCTCCCTAATCTATACTCCCAAACTGAACAACTTCAGGTAAATGACAAGCCTTCTGAGCTTCAATGCTGTCACCTATAAATTGGTAACAATAAAAATACTGACTTCTTTGCATTCAGTGAAGAATAATTATTTTATTTGTTTATCTAATGCTGTATGCCTGCCAGTGCTTGACTTGTATTGTCTTAAATGAGATAATGAATTACGTCTCAGGCAGTTAATGGCACTTATTAAAGTCATAAACAGTCACAGCTATTGGGGAGTGATTGTTAATGTCATTTTTCTTGTTTGGGCAAATCTGTATTTTAATAAAACCCTCCAGTGATGACATAGAAAATGGCTTGGAGCTGGAGACCAACAGAGGTAGTTTCACATACATGTTTAAAAATTCACTGAGCTCTGCACTTTACCTTACATATGTTACATCTCAGTTTTTTAAAATTTAAGAGAGATAACCAATGAAATCTTTCCTCCCAGTTTACATAAGCTATGCTACAACAGCTTAGAACAGCCATTAGGGGCTAAGAGGGTTCTCTTCAGTTAAAAAAAAAAAAAAAGACTGTCGAACTCAATAAAATCCTTTTTAAATAAACTGTGCTCCTGAAGCACAGGCAGCCCAGGGAAAACTGAACTCTCCTTAACTTGGACAGATTCTGACTTGGCTGATAGTTTTCCCTTTGCTAGAGCTACCAGCTGTAGCAAATGAATCTATATGAGCCTCAACTCTCTCCCCTTTCAGCCTGGTGATGCAGGATCCTGGAACAGAGAAAGGCCATCCAGGGGCTAGTGTGAGGAATGACATTCACGCTGAACCAAATCTTACACTGTCTGCCCTCAGCCCTCTGGGAAATTGGCTGTTTTCAGGGCATCCTTTTTTTTTCCCCAGTTAGATTTTCCCAGACCTCTGAATATGTCGCAGGTGAGAATGCTATTCAGAATCCCTCCTCTGTGAGCCTACTCTTATCTTTGAATGTTCTCCTGTTGTCAGACCATGGTTTTCAGTTCTTTCTAAGCAAACAAGTCAGTACATTGACTTGTCCTTAAGACTGACACCAGCTCAGGGGTAGAAATGTTCACGTTGGGTGATGCATTTCCCTTGCATGGTGCTCAGGGTGATGTGAAATTATTGTAACCTCTGAAAATCTGGGAAATGAATAAAAAATATGATACTGATACTATGTCTCTTCCTGTTGATTACAAAAACAGTCTAAAACTGGTGGAATTTGGGGACCAACCACGTGATCAAAATCAAATAATGGGCCTTTGAGGATGGAGCTGTGGGTTGTTTCTGATAGGGCAGGACAAAAAAAGTCCTGACTAAGCAGAGCTGAAAGAGGGTATTTAAAACATTTATGTGAGATTTATAGAAAATACAATATTGCTTACTTAGTAACTCCCGGTTAGGTATTTAAAGAGATAAGATTAAATGTCTAGAATTCAGTGATAATTATGTAAACAAAAACCGGCCTTAAATTGCCTGGTATTAGATATGACTGTTGACATTCTGCATATCTTATAAGTCATTCTAATTGAATGGGGCAATGTTACCCTCCAAAACCTAAAATGCCCATAATTCAAGGAACATTCTGATTAAGCAGACAGGTCTCCTTGGATACAAACATCAAGCCCGATACAGTCATGACAAGCTCACTGATAGGCAATTTTCAAGAAAATAAACAGGATATTGGAGACAACTGAAAAAACGGGCCATATAAAACCAAAACATGAAGGTTTTACACATTTCTATGATGCTTATGTAGATGCAAATGCACATTGCACGTATGTACTTCTAAAATCATGCTGTCGGTTTTTTTTTAAATAATTTAAAGATGTATCATGAAAGTGGCAATTCATATAGTTTCTTAAACACCAAAATACAGAATTGTATATATATTTTAAAAGTACAAAAAGGTTTCTTACCTGTTGAGGTCTCTGGGATGAGCAGGGTAGTTGTTCGCGGATCCAAAATGGCTGAAGAAAGCGACTGGCGTGGGGCTTTTATTGTGATTAGCAGCTGGGCCTGGGCGAGGATTCTAGCAGGAAGGCAGGAGATCAAGTGGTTTCCATCTCCTGCAGGTGCTAGCAGGGGAACCCTGGGCTTCCTTAGCAGCTAGCCTGGGTGTGGAGCACAAGATGAGGCAGGCATGAGGCTTAACAGCTGTTGACAATCACATATCAAAATAGTTTAACTCTTCATTACAAACAGCATTCACACAGTCACCAATATGCTCTTCCACTGTTTACCACCCAAATATTTCTTAAGATGGTTCTTGCTTCTCCACTCTTACTACCCTCCTTTCTGTTTTAAGAAGTTACCATCCCGTCTGAACCTGTGATAGATTTTTAAATTGAAGTATAGTTATATTGTACACCTGAAACTAAGAATAATACACCATTCTATCAGTTTCACAGGGCCAACATGATTCAATGTTTGTATATCTTGAAAAATGATTGCCACAAAAGTCTAGTTAACATCTGTCCCCAGTTAAAATTTTCTTTCTTGTAACGAAAACTCAAGATCTACTCTCTTAGCAACTTTGAAATACGCAATACCATACTACTAACTATGGTCACCATGCTCCACATTACGTGTCAGTGACTTACTTATTTTATAAATGGAATTTTGTACTTTTGAACCCCTTCACCCATTTACCTACATCACCCACCCACCCCTGCCTCTGGCAGTCTGTTCTCTATATCTATAAACTCTGGTGTTTTTGGGGGGGGTGGGGAGAGAGAGGGAGGGAGTTCACCTCAAAGTGGGAGCATATGGTATATATTTAACTTTGTTACATTTTACATTTTTAACATAATGCCTTCTAGATCAGTCCACATCATGCCAAATAACAGCTTAATATCCTTCTTTATTGGGCCTCTCCAGTGGCACAGCGGGTTGAGCACAGAGCTGTGAAGCTGTCCACAGCCTCTGCAGCATGGGGTTGGATTCCCGGCTGGCCAGGGAGACTCCCACATGGCACAGCAGACCTCTCCTCTCGCGCCCACAGCTCCCCTCAGTGGTGCTTATGGTCTGTCTGCCTGTTCTGCTCCCCACTCTGTCTCTGGTGAATCCTCTCACCCTCCCACACCTCTGGCCTGTACCCCAGCTATTGGATAAATATATATATCCTTCTTTATTATGGCTGAATATACATATATGTATACACTTTGTATATGTGTATACACACACACACATACCCCCACATTGTCTTTATCCGTTCACCCATCAATGGACACAGGTTGTTTTCATATCTTGACTATTGTAAATAATACTTCAGTGAACATGGAGTGATACATCTTTTTGAGTTAGTGTTCTTATTTCCTTCAAATAGATACCTAGAAGTGGGATTGCTGGGCCATGTGATAGTTCTTTTTTTCATTTCTTCAGGAACCTCCCTAATGTTTTCCATAGCGACTGAACCAATTTACATTTCCACCAACAGTGCACAGGGCTAGGGTTCTCTTTTCTCCACATCCTCATTAAGAATTATCTCATCCTTTTAGAAATAGCTATTCTAACAGGTGTAAGGTGATATCTCATTGTGGTTTTGATTTGCATTTCCCAGATAATAATGCTGAGCACTTTTTTCATGTACCTCTTAGCCATCTGCATAACTTACTCAAAAAAATGTCTAGCCAGAGCCTCTGCCCATTTTTTAATCAGATTGTATGTGGTGTTTGCTATTTAATCAACCCCTTATAGAAAATATTTGTAAAAATTGTCTCCCCTTTCTTAGATTACTTTTTCATTTTGTTGATAGTTTCTTTCGATGTGCAGTAGTTTTTTAGTTTGATGTACTCTCACTTGTTTATTTTTGCTGTTTCCTTTACTTTTAATGTCAAATACAAACAGTCGTCACCAAGACCAACAACAAGGAGTTTACGACCTGTGTTTTCTTATAGGAGTTTTTGATTTGAGGCTTTATGTTCAAGTCTTTAATATATTTTGAGTTAATTTTTGTATATGGTGTAAGATAGTGATCTAATTTCATTCTTTTGCATGTGGCTGTCCAGTTCTCCCAAGATCACTTATCAAAGAGCTTGTCTTTTCACCATTGTATGTTTTTGGCTCTTTTGTCATAATTAACATTATATGCTTGGGTTTATTTCTGGGGTCTGTATTCTGTTCCATTGAGCTATGTGTCTGCTTTTATGCTAATAGTATATAGTTTTTCTTACTATATCTTTGTAATATAGTTTAAGTTTAGGAATCGTGATGCTTCGAGCTCTGTTCTTCTCCCTCAACATCACTTTGGCTATTTGGGATCTTCTGTGGACCATACGAATCACAGGGCTATTTGTTCTATTTCCTTGAAAAATGGGTTTTAAATTTTGATATGGATTACATTGAATCTGTAGATTGCTTTGGGTAGTATGGACATTTTAACAATATTAATTCTTCCAGTTCATGAACACAGAATACCTTTCCATTTCTGTCTTCAATTTCTTTCATCAGTGTCTTATAACTTTTAGCATACAGGTCTTTCACCTTCTAAATTTAGTTCTAGGTATTTTATTCTTTTTGATGCAGTTGTCAGTGGGATTGTTTTCTTGGCTTTTCCTTCTGATAGTTTGTTATAGAACTATGTTTTTCAAGTCTGGCCTCTCTCCTCACACTCCACTCTGCAAAGACACATTTTGTTGACTATAGTCAGTCTTTTGCAAGTCATTTCTACAGATTTAGAAATGGTATTATTTCTTTTTATCATAAGTGGAATCAAACTACCTTTGTTAATCTTACCTGTAGCACTAAATAGTGAACTGTGGACATCTGGACATATATGCATATTGAGTACACATATATTTACTTTAATAGGCTGAATAGGATCATTATCTTAATTTTTAACCTGTGCAATTTTTCTGTATTACAATCAACACTGCATTAAACACCCTTATGTGTCCTTATGTGAATATATCTATAGTGTAAATACATTAACATGAGACTGCCAGGTCAAAGAGTAAGCAAGCATTGCATTGCCAGTTGCCTTCTGAAAAGGTGGAACCAATTTATACTTCCATTCACTGTCTTGAGAATACCTTTTTCCTACACAGTTAACTTTCTGATATTTTTAATCCTAGCCAATCTGACAGATAAAATCGAATTAACACCATGATTTACAGTTATATTTTTTTCCCATTGTAAGTCAGGTTGAGACCCTTTTAATATGTTATTTGCCATTTGTAGTTCTTGTGAATTGCCTAGTTATTAGCCTATATTTAAATTATAATTTTGATCTTTTTCTTATTAATTTAAAAGATCTCTATTTTAAGCAAATGGCATTTTTTTATATAAATAGGAAATATTTTTCCCAGTTTGTTGTCATGTGACTTCCTAATTGGCATTTTGGACTAATTTTTAAATTTTATGTATTCAGATTTATCATTCTTTATGCCTTCTACAATGGCAAACATTTACCCCACGTAAATGTTTTTCTAACATTTTTCTCTACCACATTTTTACAGTTTTAGAAACACTTTTCTTGGCTGTCTTTTTATATTTTAATCTTTGATTTGTCTGGAATAACAATTTTTTTTTCTTTTTTTTTTTTATAGAGGCATGTTTTATTTATTTATTTGTTTGTTTGTTTGTTTTGTTTATACATGCACTGGGTACAGTCAGACGCGCGGGAGGGCGAGAGAATTCACCAGAGCCAGAGCAGGGAGCAGAACAGGCAGAAGGACCGAAGTACACTGCTGGGGGGAGCAGCGGGCGGCAGGAGAGGTCTGCGCGCCATGTGGGACCCTCCTCTGGTGGCCGGGGAGCAGCCGGGGATCGAACCGATGCCGCAGAGGCCGCGGGCAGCTTCGCAACCCAGCGCTCAACCGCTGTGCCACCGGGGAGGCCCGGAATAACAATTTTTATGAATGAATTTGAGATTCATCTTTTTTTTCTCCTAATGGTCAACCAACATCATTTATTAAATAAATTATCTTTCTCCACCTTTACTGTATACAAAATTTCCATATTTTTTTTTTAAAGAGGCATGTATTTTTATTTATTTATTTATTTGTTTATTTGTTTGTTTGTTTATACATGCACTGGGTACAGTCAGAAGCGCGGGAGGGTGAGAGAATTCACCAGAACCAGAGCAGGGAGCAGAGCAGGCAGAAGGAACGAAGTACACTGCTGAGGGGAGCAGCGGGCGGCAGGAGAGGTCTGCGCGCCATGCGGGACCCTCCTCTGGTGGCCGGGGAGCAGCCGGGGATCGAACTGGCGCCACAGAGGCCGCGGGGAGCTTCGCAACCCAGCGCTCAACCGCTGCACCACCGGGGAGGCCCTCCATATGATTTTGAATCCATATTCTAGATATATAGATGTCAGCTTATAGATGCCACAAACACAACAGACAATATTCTTGAAAGACAAAATGTGTGAAGTTATTATCAATACTATGTGATGAGTGGTGGTTTCCTACTTGTTGATACCTTGAGGCAAAAAATAAAAATTACCAGCACTCTCAAGACAATGGCATTAAGTTAACTAAGAGCATCTATTTTAATTTATATGCAGGGATTGTTTTTCCTCACACCAGTGACCCAGCAATTTATTAGAGCACAACCTACTAGCCAACTACTCATTTTGGTTTTTCATTTAATCTTAGCCATTGCTAGTCCCTTAAAAGCTGTTAAGTAATAATAATGTGGAGCACTTATATTGTACTTTTCATCCCTAAGTGCTATCTAAACATTAACTAATTAAATGCATTGATGAAAGGAAGGGATTTGCAGACATCTTCAGAAAAACATATCTGGTTGCACACCTGTGAGGGGATGATTCCTAAAAAGCATTAACTCCTTCTTTGAATGGCACTCAGCAAGCAGGGGAATAAAAAAGCTGGTGACATTATTTCACTTTCTTTTGAAAATTTCCCAGGGTATCTTCTAATTAGTCTGGTTAAAGTCACCTTTTATCTATCTCCACAGATATTCCCTTTCTACATTCCTGGGGGTATTCAACAAGCTTCTTTTGAAGTTTTCCCTGTAAGTTAATCACAAAATTGTAGAATCTTCAAACTGAGAGGGATCCTTATTGATCATCTAGTTTTGAGTGACTTAACTGCATTCACTTTATTTTGTACATGAGGAAACTGAGGCACAGGGAGGTGA